AAAAAAAAAAAAAAAAATATTTCATACAAATGGAAACCTACAGTGAGGAGTGGCTATTCTTATATTAGATAAAATAGACTTTAAATAAACAACAGCAAAAAAAGACTAAGAAGGTCATTATGTAATGATAAAATAATTGATTTAACAAGAAGCTATAACAATCTTAAATATATGTGCACATAAGACAGGAGCTCTCAGATCCATAAAACAAATGCTATTAGATTTAAGGAAAGAAACAAACAGGCCAGCTACTGTGGTTCATACCTATAATCTTAGCACTTTGGGAGGCCAAGGCAACAGGATCACTTGAGGCCAGGAGTTTGACACCAATCTGAGAAATACAGCAAGACCTTTACAAAGAAATAGATAAATTAGCTGGACATGGTGGTGAGTGCCTATAGTCCCCATTCCTTGGGAGGCTGAGGCAGGCAGATCTTTTGAGCCCAGGGGTTTGAGGCTGCAGTGGGCTATGATGATGCCACTGCAATCTAGCATACACAGCAGAATTAGACATTCAATTTAGAAAGAAAAGAAGAGTTAGACTTTCAATTTAGAAAGAAGAAAAAAGAGAGAAGTAAACAGCAACATTATAACTGTTGAGGACTTCAAAACTGTCCACTGACAGAACTAGACTGATCATTGAGGCAGAAAATCAATAAGGAAATACTGGACTCCTGAACAAATGGAACTAGCAGACATTGCAGGATTTCTACCTCAAACAGCAGAATATATATTCTTCTCAACAGCACATGGAACATTTTTCTAAGCTAGATCATCTGTTAGGCCACAAAACAAGTCTCAGCAAATTAAAAAAAAAACAACCCAGAAATCATACTATGTATCTCCTCAGATCACAATGGAATAAACAAGAAATCACTTCTAAAACGAACTCTCAAAACTGTACAAATACATAGAAATTAAACAACCTGCTATTGAATTATCTTTGAATCAATGATGAAATAAAAATGTACAACAAAAAGTATTTTTAATTAAATGACAAAATGACATAAGTTCTCAAAATCTCTGGGATACAGCTAAAGCAGTGATAAGAGGGAATTTGATAGCATTAAATGCCTTTATCAAAAGATCCTTTAATTGTGAGCTCATTTATCACTAATTTGTCTGGGAAGAGTTACAGTAAATTCTTTCTAGCTCGCAGGCTTCTGAAACTGGCTTCTGACCTTGCATAGCTCTTGGCTGGGGCTGGGTTTGAACCCGCCACCTCTGGCATATGGGGCCGGTGCCTTACTCCTTTGAACCACAGGCGCTGCCCCCCTCCATAATTTTTAACATGTTCCATATTGTGAGGAAGCTAAATGAACTTGTAAAACGTATCTGCAGAGTATAAAGTATCTAGGCATTGACATATTATAAACTTTCAAACAATTCAATGTTGAGACTTTCGCATAGATTACATAGGGAGGATATGAGACACAATTCAATTACTACATAAAGTTTTTATTTAAAGTTTTCCCCTTCCAAGCAAGCTTCATTTATACATTCTAATATTGTACAAAATTTACATTCTCTGTGACATATTTATTCACTTTTCACTTTCTAGTAGTTTCTGTCTTTCTGAAATACAGAAAGCTTTACTTATAGTTCTCATAGATGCTTTTATTTGTTTTGGCTAGAAATAAAAAATAAAATGAAGAACAACTCTAAGTTAGGAAAGCAAATGTTCTCGTATAAATTGTGATTTTTATAAGAAAGAGTGACAGTTGACAACAAATGGTTCTGAAGCAGAGCTTGTTCTCTTTGTGACGTCAGCTGGGATTCTCCCACACAGCACTTTACCTTTTATTACTTTCTATATAGTCATATGTTTTCAAGGAAAAAGAAATGAAAGTTGATTGCACTGGTTATATATATTTATATATATATATTTTTACAACGGATCCTTTGGATCTGAACATACAAATAAATACAAAACAATGAAGATTGCACTTTACTGTAGAAACGGCATTGGATTCCAGTACACCCATCTATCTTGATATTCTCCACAATGAACTCTTATCACCAAGGCATTTTTAATCTGTGGCTTTCCCTTATTTTTGTTTTGAAGGACACACTTTGTCAAGGGATTCGGCAACATTGCTGAGTGATTGAAAGAATATTACAGACTTTTAAAAAAACTTCTAACAGTTGTTCAAGCTCTAAAGAACCTGAAAATGAAATTGGGGTTCCTGCCAGTTTTTCTCTTTTGGTTGGCCACACCGAGACTATCTCATGCTCTCCTGACCTTCTGCTCCTAAATTACTCATGCTTCTAATGACAACTAGCAATTGCTCACTTAACTGAATTCAGGCATCTCCGGTGATAATAAACAAAATATGGCAAGGTGGGGGAAGAACGAGGGTAACTCAACTGAGGAAGGGGAGAAATATTTCGCTATCATTGGCTCCTGTGGCACTTGTAAGTTCTGTGTTTCAGAAACAGAGGGAAAACTGGGATTGTACTTAGGAGAAACTATTCTTTCTTTTCATCCCTGAATTCTTAAAAGCAATCACTCATTTTGTTATGAATTAAGTTTGGGTCACAAGTGTCATCTTATAGAATCTCTAAAATGTTTTATGACTGAGATTTTCAGTATTGTCTTTTGAAGCAAACAACATGTGTGTTCACTACTTACTACAAAATGAGAAAGCACAAACCTCTGTTAACTGAACAGCGACATAGGGTACTTTGTTTTAATCTTCAGATAAAATTGAGGACACAGGAATGATGACTCTACCTAGCCTAGAACCCATAGGACAGAAAGCACTTGCTATAAGAGCCAACGTCTTTTCTCTTCTCTGATCCCATGAGGTGCTGGTAGAGCAGAAGGTATATAACATGAAGTTGTATAGAAATGAAAATGCCCTTCCTTAATCTTATATGATTTTCCATAACTGTGTTGCCTATAGAGTCTGTAAAGTAGCCAAAGTCTAGGACTACAGAATCAAGTGGCAATTTCTGTAATGCAGTGTATTTTGGTGGTTCCAATTTTGAATCATTCATGAACACAACATCCCCAAAACGTCAACATAGATCACATGCAGGTAGACTACAATGCACAACACTGATCTTAGGTCTCTCTGGGGCCAGTCTTCTGTATTTGATCTTTCTCCTTTTGCAAGTTAAGATCCACATGAGGAGTTTTCATAAAGCTGGGACAAGTTAAAACCAGTCTGAAATGGAAGAGTCTGTCATCACAGGAAGTTTGGTGTGATCTGAACTACAGACACAGTATCTATTCAAGAAGGGGTCTCTTTCTTTTGAAGTTTTTTATAAATCCAGAAACCAAGGGTGGGTTTTGGCGGTTGTACCATCAGAATGCATTGCTCCTGTTGTGATAGTGAGGCCACCTGCCATTGCTTCCTAGACTGTGATACTGTTCATTCCATGGTTTCTTGGTGTTACTTGTTGTACGGTACACAGGCAGGCAGGATGACTGTGGCACAGGCTGGGCCTGCCAGGGGTTCTGCTACATCTCCTTCAAGTTCTGTCCAGGTCCCTTTTTCTGGACAGTAGCATATTGTAGATGATTTGTAGGCTCCCTGTAACAGCAGAGAGGTGTGCACTTAGAGATAGACCCACAGAGAAGTTCAACTGCAAGGTTACTGCTTACCTTGGAGGAAAAAAAAAATCTATTTTCTGCTTCTGCTAAAAAATTCCAAATGAAAGCATTTGGAATTTTATAGTGTTTTATTCCAAGGGAAAATTGAGACTCAATAAGATTTCAAAAATGTTTTTTTGTTTTGGACTAATAATAAAAGTCAAATAAATACTTAGAATATCTTCGATCAGTGGTTCTCAACCTTCTTAATGCTGCGACCCTTTAGGTTGAGAACTGCTGTCCTAATGCTCAACAAATCCTTGCAAGTAATTAATCAAAAATTGAACTTATCCGGTTTAAGCTTTAAAAAAATACACATTTACCTTAAATACTCAAATAAATAAAGTAAATAGAATTTTAGATTGTTGCTTCACTTCTTCATTTTAATTTTGCTACTAGAAAGAATCAGAGCTGGAATTGAAAACCAGTTAAGCAAACTGGAAATGAAGCTTACCAAAGTCTTCATACATTGATTCGTTTATTTTCAAGAGGCCACATGAGAAATACAAAATGTCTTTCTATCCTGGTTCCTTTGTCAACTTGAAGGGCTAGTGCTTGTGTAACATTTTCCTTTTCAACTAAAGCAGCTTTGTTTTTATCATAGACAACAAACAAAAACATCAACCAACCTAATAATCATTTTTCTGAAGATGTAGTTTTTATATCTGCTTCCAAACATACTCCTATATACTCTTGCAGCTAACCATTTGTACCAACAAACAAGCACATGTACAAATATCTAGTTATAAACATCCATACATCTGTCTTCAGATAACCATTAACGTTTTAATGCTTCTCAAAACTTTATATCACAATTTTTAAAAAGAAATAAAATTAATATTATTAAAATGCCAAATGAATCTTAAAACACTAATATAGAGAAATAGGAAGATATAAAAATGGCCACCATATTAAAAGTGACTACGTGATAACTAGACTTGATGTGTCTCTGGATTTGAGGTACTAAGCCACCTTCTCAGGTGGTCTTGCTAACACCCATACACATATGCAAATAAAAGAAAAAAGAACAAAAAGATTGAACGTTAGCCCTTATCTCTAACTTTCAGTCTATAGAAAATATGCAGATGAAGGGCTAATTTAAAGGCTACCACAAGGAAGTCCTTAACCAATTCCAGAAGGCACAGTATTCTATATGATAACTGACCCTCTTTTATCAAGAAGTTAATGTCATGGAACAAAAAGTGCAGCAGAGTAATGTTGCAGATTGCAAGAGATCTATGAGATGTAATGACCAAACAGGAGTGGGACTGGTTAGATCCTGATTTGAATATGCCAACTTGAAAAATATTAATTCTTTTCCTAAGTAAATATAGGAAATTAGAAAATGTGTTGAATATAAAGGAATTATTGTCTTTTTTTTGGTGTGATAATTTATATAAGTGCATGATTTGTTAAAAGATAAATACTGAAGCATTTAGGGTGAAGTAATATGATCTCTGGTGTTTGCTTCAAAGTTCAGCCAAAATCTTTAAAAGGAGGAATAGATTAAGTATGGCAAAATGGTGATGAACATGGAGGTTGGAAGATGAGTTAATGAAGACCCATTGTCATCTCAATTTTTGGGCATGTTTAGACATTTTCACGATGGGGGGTAAGTAATGTCAAATCCTGCATCCTGAGTAGAATTTTGGATATTTAAGAATGAATTTCCATTTTTCATGCCTTATTAGTCAGAAAGTTTTCAGACTCTCTCATTCAATTGTAGCAGCAGATTTATAAAGTCACTTGAGTTTCACTTTTAGTTGGAAAGCCAGAATAACAAAAATATGGGGATAGAAGAGAAACAGAGACATCTTGTGATGGGGTTGACCAGTTAATCAACCACTTCAATAGCAATCAGGTTGATTTTATTTTACTACTTAAAAGTAACTGCTTGCATGTAAGATGGGTGCTCTTTAGGATACATGTGTGTGGGGTAACACATTTGGGGGGCAACCGCAGAAATAAGCAGAAACAAATGGCGGAGGATACCTACCATGCTCCAGCTGTATCCTCCCACCAAGTAGATGCTGTCATCCAGCACTGCACAGCCAGGACCACTTCGACCCTCTAGAATGGGAGTTTGAAGAATATTCCACTGGTCACCTTTTGGGTCATAGCATTCCACAAGCATTACATCAAGGTGGGAGAAACCTAAGTGAATAGAGCAAAATGGAACCACAAAAGAATAAGCTGTGAGGGTTCCGATTTAAGGCTAGATCTAGCTTCTCTGAAAAACCGATCTAGAGCCAAGAATTAGATAACCGTGTATTTGAAGACACAAATGTATACGTTCACTGATGAAACTGAAAGACACGTCGGATAGAACCACCCCAGCCCTCAAATCCAAACCAACTCTGGGTATTTTGGATTCATTCAAAGAAAGAATGCCTGAGCACATGTCATTAGTGATTCTGTGTGGGTAGATCTTATAAAAAACGGTTTATTAAAATCTTATTTAAAATAATAATGAAGCAAGCACTTTACCCAGTCCTTACAATATGCTAGTTTTGTTTTCCAAGTGCTTTATTTAAATGAACTCATTTAATTCCCTCCATCATGCTATGAGATCCCCTCTATCATTATTTTCAGGGAACTGAGGGTACATGAGAAAGGCAATGGCTTGAGTTAAGTCAGATGGGGTGAGATCTGAATCCAGCTTCAGAGCTCTGACTATTACAGCCTAAACTGTGTTGCTTTTCTTAAGCAAATATTTAACTCTCTGAAAATGTTTCAATTAATCAAAAATAGTTCAGCATCTTTTACCTTTTTTTTTAAAATCTGACTGTGTATATAAACAGCTCTGATGATGTAAATGGTTTCCAACATCCACTAAGGACCAAGGTTTAGAGTAGGGGCTGAGTCCCTTCCTGTGAAGGGCATCTCCTCCCATTTCTGATAAGGCTTCTCAGTGAGAGGGGCAGTAACTTAGTCGCTGGGAATAACTGAGATTCCTGGACTCTTTGTGGCCCTGCCTTTAAGTTAGAAAGTGAAAATCCCCTACTGGGAGCTTCCTGATCATTGAAGAGACCAAATCCTTAGTGACCTTCTCTAGTTAAACGCATGCTATAGATATTTGGTAGCTGAGAATTACAGTTTGTACATTACATGAACCAACATGTTGGGCATTTTAAAAGAATTGAGAAGATGAAACAAAAAGTAAAAGAATTTTCATTCTTGCAGAGGTAGGTTATATTAGGCTACCAATTTCTTACATGAAGTGAATGACATAGATGCAGGCGTGGTAGAACCAGGTACTCACTGCAACTCCGGGGGGGTGGGTATGTACCTTTCCTTTATCATTACAATGAGTGATGATAATTTTTGAAGCATATACACTTGGAATGGGCACTTGGGAAATATAGGCATCCTTTGAGGATGTGTATGCCTTCTTGGTGCTGACTGCATGTTCCATGTGTTGAATATACTCCCCACAAAAAACATCAAGGAAAAGATAATCATCCCTCTTTTGTAAACATGAGGTTAAGTGTCCTGAGTAAGGAAGGCCAGGCAACAGTGGGTACATAACTAGGATTCAGACTGAGGCATAGTCCTTATCTTTTCCTTCCCATGATGCCTTCCTGAGCTGACTTAATTTGATGTGTGTGTTATTTCTCTTTTAGGTTTTCATTACCTGAGTCCTTTTGTCCAGATAAAACCTTAAAGTTAGACAATCCTGAAACATTTAGGGAATATCTTGTGCAACAGAAATGGGAAGAAATCAGGCTATAATGTAGAAAGCTGCAAAGTTAATATAAAACATGTTGAGGTAAAGGAGTGGTATAGAGCTTGAGATGAAGGAACACCAGGGAAAAAGATAAAGAATAAAAAGGGGTTGGGCACGGTGGCCCACGCCTGTAATCCCTGCACTTTGGGAGGCTGAGGCAGGAGGATTGCTTAAGGCCTAAAGTTAGACACCAGCTTGAGCAATGTAGTGAGACCTTGTATTTACCAGAAATAAAAAAATTAACTAGGTGTGGTGGTGGGCATCTGTAGTCCTGGCTACCAGGAAGGCTGAGGCAGGAGGATTGCTTGAGCCCAGGACTTTGAGGTTGCTGTGGGTTAGGATGATTGCTACTGTACTCCACCTTAAGCAATGGAGTGAGACCCTGTCTAGAAAGAAAGAAAGAAAAGAGTAAAAAGCAGAAAGAATAAAAAGGTAAAAAGGGAAAAGTCACCATAGTAAAGAAAATCCTCTCCCAAGGAGAGAGCACTAGGATGAGCAGCAGACATATACCGGGATACTGGCGTTTCTGAACATGAACTTGACCTTGAAAATATCTATACAAAAATACTCTTATGTAGTCTTTATTTGCTTAGGGGTAAGTGTATACCAGGGGGGAAAAAAAAACTATGTCTTATCCACCTTTAAATATGTATATACTGTGAATTAAATGCACAGATGTGCCTTATCTATCATAGCTGGATAGCCTGTGTCCTATTTAGATTAGTTTCAAGGATCATGGACTATCAGAGCTGGAGAAGACCTTGAAGATAAACTAGAACAGTTTCTTCATATTCATATGAGGAAACTGAGGCCCAAACCATTCAATAATGTTTCCACTATCATAGGCCTCTCTGCTTTTCCATTGAATTCAGTGTCATATACATGTACATGAAGTTACATGTATATACGTAAACTACGAACTTGTACTCATATACATATTTGGAGGAAGAAAGGAGCCAAATGTGACTCTAAAAATTCTATGCTTTATGTTTTTTTATTAAAAAAGCAATAAGATTTGAGGATCATAGATGGTTTAACATTTGATTCTTAAAAAAATTCTAAGTTTAGACATGAAATTGTATTAAATATTTTTTTTGAGGAAAATAACGGATTAGCTTTGTGCACCTATGACTAAAGTTCTTTCTGATTACCGCAAAAAAACAATTTCCTGGAAAAAATTCATTACTACAACTTTGGTGATAAGGAATAATTTATTTCACTGAATTCATTGGTATGACAAATTATTTCTGTTTTTCCATTATTAATGCTCCTCTTTCTTATTTTCTGTAGACACCATTATTCACTTCTTTAATGTGTATGGTAACTTAAAAATAATCCCATCTGCAGAAAAGCCAAAACAAATGCCTGCTCAAGGATGCTGCTAATTTACCCACACAGAGTATATTTTATTTCGTCAACATGATTTTTCCTGGGTTAGTATGATTATTTAAGAAGAAACCCCCTTAGCAAGAAACATGAGGTGCAAGTGTTATTGTGATTTAAAAAAAAAAAAAAAAAAAGACCTTTCAAATGATTTCCTCCGATTGCATACAAACGATCATTCATTACAGCCAAAGTGTGGATTGCACGTTTCGTGTTCATATCTTGTTTTCGAGCCCAGACATCCATTACGGGGTCATAGCAATACAGCCATGGGACATATTCTCCATTGTGTACACCCCCTGTGAATTAAACATATACATACGAGTGAAGAAAATGCCTTGGATCTAACCTTGTAACAGAAAGTGGAGGAAAGACTTGCCTGAAATGTATATCTTCCCGTTGTGTACGGCTCCCGCGTGAGCTGCCAGGGGCTGCGGCAGAGAGGACACGTAACGCCATTCATTTGTTTCCAGGTTATAGCACTCCACGCTGGACAGGTAGCCGGTTTCATTCCTTCCACCAATAACATATAAATGCTTGTCCAATCGACACGCATAGAAACTGGCTCTTCTACAATGAAAACAACTCACGGTAAATTACACAAGGAGCTGTGAAATGTTACCTTTCAGACAGGACAAGGACTTCTCAGGGAAAGAACACGGATCCTGCTTCAGAAAGAGTCGAAAACCTTTAGAAATTACACATATATTTTTAATGTTTTAACACTGATGTACAATGAACAAAATGTTACCTTACCGCCAAGGTTAAACTATGCTATTTTGTCCAAGATCATGTTCAACAGACAAAAATGAAGTACGGTCAGGTAACACAGTGGAACCTTTAACCCCTCTCTGGTAATCTCTTTCCTGAGGACCTGAACTTGTAATGACTTGAAGAATTTTCTTCTCACTTTTACTATTTTCTATCCTTTTCTTCTTTTTTGTGACTGTGGGGATAATATGATGATTATAATAAATAGAATAAGGGACTATAAAAATAATTACACATATACCGTCCACATCTGAGACCTACTATGGTAATCATAGGTACGGCCCATTTGGTTAACAGTTTTGATACTAAAGTAACAGCAGATAAGAAATTCACCAACTGTTTGTTTCCGCTCCTTTTATCTTGCTTTTCTACACTGCAGAAGTGTTCATTAATGTTTGGGATATTTGGTACCTTGTAAGGATATCATAGCTCTGTAAGACAAAGTGAAAAACGAGGTAGATCATGTAACAATAATAAATTATCTTGACATTCACTTTCTTTATGGTCCTTCAAGGGTCATTGTTCCCAATTTATAAGAGAACTACATCATCAAAATTTTTCTTCAATTATAATTTTTTTCTTTTCTCCCCCTAGTACTACCACAAATAGAATAAGTTTTGTGAACTTCATATAATGTTCAAATTTTGCTCTTATATAACCAAGTACAGGAGTCTTATTTAAATAGTTTTTGGTGATGACTATTACAAAGTCATAGGATTTTTTTTAGTTTCTTTTCAAGAGAGAATACTGAGTACAGTATCCCACTATGCTGTGAGAGGCAAAAAGGGTGAGCTGTGTTGAAAGGGTTAGAGACAGGGAGAACAATGCTAAGACCATAATTTAGGAGTGAGATATACAGGACCTGAAATAGAATCTCAGCAGAAGAGAGGAAAGGGGTAATGCAAAAGATATTTTAAAGGAAGATGTAAGACTTGATAGCTCATAAAATATGAAAGCAGGGGGAGAATAAAGGTTCAAAGAAGATTCAAAATTGGATGTTAGGATGATTAGGTTGAAATTTTAAGCCAGCCTTTGACCCTTTGCTTCCTTTTCTCATGAATGTTATGCGATAATATACTTCACAAAGATAACACAGGGGCAATATTGGAATAAATATAATTATGAAGTGCCAAGTCCCTCAGAGAACATAATGTATATTTGATGAGTTAGCGATCTTCATTACATTTGATGCCAAGATTCTGGTGCCATGTTGAGGAGAGGTAGAGCCTTGTGTCAGGTAAACCTGTATCATTTGGAGATTTTTCAAGTTGTGTTTGCAAAGTGCTAAAACATCTGGGAGGCAGGATACAGGTATAGCATCTTGGGTAATGGTTGGGATTCTAGAGTCAGACTGCCTGGCTGTGTGATTTACCGAGTGTGTGACTTTTGACATATTCCTGAACCCCTCTCAGCCTCAGATGGCTCATCCTGGAACAGGAGGATGATAATGGTACTTTATGAAGATTACCTTATGGTATTCTATTTGGGAATACATGTAAGTGCTAGCATCCAGCATTTTGTTCATACTTATAAACTGTTAATTACTATGCGAGGACAAAAAGTCTTAAAAAATTGTCTGCATGAGATATCTGCATGTAAACTTTTCCCAACAATACTTAGGTGACTGCTGAATTCTGTAATGTTTGTTTAGATGATTTACTGCCATACAGGCAGTGTTTGCCATAGAGGGTTCTAAAACTGTCCCTACAGCCATCATTGATAATTTTTGAGCACTGTTTTATCTGTATTCCCCCTCTAGATTTTCTTGAGTTTTTTCGAAAGAAATATGTGCTGTGGAAAATTAAGGAGGATGATGAAGAACAAGGATAGTGAAAAGAAGGGGAGGGTGAAAAGTAGGAAAGGAAATAAAGAAGAGTCACATTTCATAAGGCGAAAGTCGTTAACCTGAATGCGTGTCTCCTGAAAGGTCTATGAAACTCTGACATTATAATAAAATGTGGTGTATGTTTTTGTACATGTGGATTTCTTTTGCGAAAGATGTTTCATAGCTTTTAATTAGATCATCAAAAGGATATTTGATCTAAAAAATTTGTATTTCGTGGTATAGGGGAGTCAAAGCTCATCTAACTATGAAATTAGGTTTAAAAATAGTTGCCACGTTCAGTGCATGCAGATAGAGCACTGCCTTCCACTGCTCTAACCAGACTTCAAAGAGCTCCTTTATCAAGTATGATAGGTCAAAGGTAGTTTCCCCGTGCTTTTACCTTCTCAAGGTAAAATGGTCCATTGAAAAGACTGACAGGTGTCTAAGGGAAAAAAGTCCTAAAATCTTTTTTTTTTTTGTACCATTGACACAGGGGTAGGTCAGTATGTTTCTTCCATACAATTCTGTAACTGGCCTCTTGGGGCCTGTGAAATAATAATTTTACCTATTTCATTAAAGGGCCATCTTTCAATAATTTGTATTATGTGGGCTGTAAGGTGGTAATGGCAAGTTCTAGGCAGTATTATTCTAGAAGAGAAAATGCCAATTAGTCATGCCGAGTATGATAATCTATTTAATTGAGCTTAGATTGTAAAGAGTGAGAGGAAGCTCTCTCTTTGGCGAACTTCTATAATCTAGTCGAAATTTCAGTTTTCTCCCTCTTTCTGACCTGCTTCTGTCCTCACCATGACACCTCAGCAGCCTGTCAAACTTGATCTCTTTTAGTTAGCCACGACATTCTGACTTGAAGCTCCGTGTGTACTCCTAGCTTTATCCACACAGTGTCACTGTTAGGATCTAAATGGGAAAACCTCAGGTTTTACTTCCTGATGAAAGTGCATTTTTTTGCATAGAAATTCCAACGATGAAGATCCTGAGTCCTTGACTTATTTCCTTGCATGCCCAGAGTGAGACTTTCTGAAATGCGCTATAGAAATCTGGATGGTTAATGGATGCAACTGTGAATATTTGTTGGTGGCTAAAATTTTAGATCTGTCTTGGGAGTGTTTCTTGCCCCTCCTCCCCACCTGGTTCAGGCTATTTTATTTTATTTTATTTGGAAAGGGAGTTCAAGATTATTAAAGATTCCTTAATGGGATTCAGTGTTTTCATCTCCAATTATTCATCTATCCTTCCTCCATCCTCCCCTGTCCCCACTGCCAGAGGCAATATTCAGTGTTTCTGAGGTAAGTTAAAAAAGAGTAATAGTAAGTCATAAAAACATACTTTGGGCCCTGCTTGAAAGATCTTTACAAGCGTTTTCTGCCTCTTAGGGTGGTCAGTTTATACCTTAAAGCGTGAGACTAAATTATCACACCCTTGCCCCAGCTTGAGTTTTTGACTTTCATCACAGGGTTTTAAACAATAGATTTTTTTTATTTTTCATTTTTTTTTTTCAGTTTTTGGCTGGGGCGGGGTTTGAACTCACCACCTCCGGCATATGGGGCCAGCGCCCTACTCCTTTGAGCCACAGGCGCCGCCCAACAATAGATTTTTTTAAACAGAATATTGTCTCCCTTTGTTTCCTGTAATACTGCTAGAAACAAAATATTTAGATTTGGAAGCAATTTGATACATTAACTTCTACCCTTTCATTTCCTCTGTGGTTTTGTTTTTGTTTGCCAAACCGGTTTTTCTTTCAGTATTTTGATCAGTACTTAAGATGTCTATTTTTAACTAAAAAAACGCTTAAAGTTACCAAAGCATTTTTAACAATTTAAGTTTTCAATTTATCCTCCCCTTACCAAAGAATCAAACTCTAAATCTGGAGCCAAAATAATTCATCAGCACTACATTTCAATTTATATTTTCATCTAATTGTTTCTGTCAGTCAATTCCTAGGTAGTGGGCATGTGATTCATGAACTGACCCTGGCTGTGTAAGCCTGGAGGCCAGGTGCCTACTTCCCTGCTGAGCTGGGGGAGCATTCTGCACATTTATTTTATTTCTCTGGAAGCTTTAACTTGGTAAGATATCCTGGGAATCTGCCCAGACAGCTCTCTAAGAGAAAGTTACCGCAGAGGTGCGAAAGTGTGTTTCTGTTCCTCTCAATCAGTTTGGCGACTTCTCAGCATCATAATTTCTGAGCAGTTTGGTCGCAGAATAACGAAAAGGGACAAGTGGTTTGATTTCTGGTTTGATTCATGATCTACACAATGTAAAATCAACTCGGCTAAACGTTTCGGGAAACTTCCCTGCTTTCAAGAGCGTCGCACGTGTTTTAGGTTTGCTTCCTCTTTTGTCTTAAGCACCAATTAATCCACCCTGGTAACTTGATTGTGCTCGCTATTTTGAATGGAAGCTTGGCAATGACAGAAAAATTTCATTTCAAGTTACGGATTGCTGCCTGGGTCAACTAACCCATAGGAGAGAGGGAGGTACAAGATTGACGGGGCATTTGTGAGATCTGCTTTTTCCCACTCAGCTCTGTAAGGAGCTCTTTATTTGGTCTATCGAGTTGATTGTTCTAAAGCTAAAAAAAAACTTCTTTTACTAGGGACCTGACATGATATACCATAATGACTTAGAAAGAAACGTTAAACAGTCCATCCTGTCAATGGTGGCTGCTGGGCGCCAACAGACCATGGCAGGTCTTTTTATCAGGTCAATGAGCTGCTAAAAATTGTCTAAGTAGGACCCTGCCATGATAGGCCATAGCGCCTCAGAGGAAGTCATTACGGACTATCAAGTAAACAATACACATTTTTAAAAAAATTACTAATTAGGTTTTGCAGCAATACTTCCCATCCTTAGGGGCTCTACAGTGAGATAATTGACCGCGACGTGAGTTATGCCTCCCAAGCCGAAGGCATGAAGGTTAATTATCGTGGTGCACAGCCCCCAGCAAAGGGGACCATGGTGATGAGACGATGACATTTCAAACATGTATCGATAGCTGTTTTTTAAATAAAACTTTTTAAAAATGATTTTGATTAAAGGCCAAAGTGATGCAGCTACAATAATAGCAACCAGGAAATAATTCTCCCAAGAGAGAAACAGGGTAGAGTGGTAGAGGACACCAGGAAGCTTCTGAAGCTCTGAGAAATGGTCAGGCTATTAATGGACTTGGAATGATTTCATGATGCACCTTTGAACTAGACATTCCTGAAAGTGTCTGTGGTCTTGAACTAGGACTTGTCGTTATGGTATATAGCTTTTAGTCTCCTGAAAGAGAGTTTTAAATGTCCACCTTCCGTGGAATTGAAAGTTGGACCCTGAGTTTCTTGACAGCGAGGCTTCATACGGCCTTGCTCCAGCAATGTACACTTCTGAAAAAATGGTCTTGTTTAAAAATTTCTTTTTACTTGGGAATTTATGATTAAGGATCTAATTTAATCTCAGTATAATCTGAGATTTAAAAAGAGAGGTTAAGGTGAGGGTTTTTTAAAAAAGATAGGTTCCAGTGAGGGAGCATGTGGGAATAGGAAGGAGAAAGTATGCTGCCAATCCTTTCTTTGATAACTCAAAGGAGAAGATGGAATATCTTGTCGTTTGTTATCACAAGTCTATTGGAAAATTTGCTGAAGAGGATGTCCAGATAATTGAAAAGAACTAAGTGTTTAAAATCTAGCATGTGAACTTGCATATGCATATAAAGGCATGACATTATACAACAGCCAAGAGACATAACATATGTATAAATACAGGAGTCATCTTTTCCTTTGGTAGCTAGGAGACTTGGGTGAGATAACCATCCTGTATGCAAAAAATGAGATGACAGTTTGCAAACCGTTTTAGGTATTGATGGTTTAAAAAAGCTAACAAATGACCTGTTCTCCAATGTATGATGGGAAGACGTTTGGGAAGGCAAATGTAAGTGAGTTGAGCCAGGGAGACAAAATTTGCTATTAAAATATTATATTTAAATCAGTATAAACATTGAATATTGAATTTAATATTGAGTAGCTTAATATTTAATACTGAAATTTCTACATCGAAATGCACACGATTGTGAGAAAGGTGTTTGATATTTTTGGTATTTTGATATTTCAATTTTAGGATTTAAATGTATTATCACCAAGAAGAGTGGTATGGCCAGTTGAATTTTAGCTATGTTTGCAAAATACTAATCCATGTGGTCAAGGAAGACAAGTCACATGTAATTTTCTTCTTTCTGTATTAGGACAAATAATTGACTTGATTATTTTTCCCTAGTGAATGAACAAGGCAGGTAATCTAAACTGGCCAGGCCAAGACTGTATGTTGCCTCCTATGTCTCATATTGACTCTATTTAGCCTTCTTGATCATGGGAAACCAGCTAGCACCCATGCTTCCTATAAAGCATCACAAACGTTTCAGACACAAGAAATAGACACTTACCTTTCTTGCATGGGTGGAAGTTGAATCCAGCTATTAAATCGGGGATCATATCGGCTGACAAAATTTGTACTGTGTTTTCCTGGAAAAATACATTTGAGACACTTAAACTTAGATTCCTTTGTTGATTTGCATATTTAATAGTATTTGATAAGATGTCTCTATTCTCAGGTTTAACAAATAGATGAATTAAGTAGAGGGCACACCAGACAGCATGAGAAGTGACTGTCAGTAGAATAGACACGCCACCCCAAAGGTATTTCCTTTTGCCATCTCTTTCCTTTTTCTGCTTTTGGAATAAGTTGGGATTAGCCCAAATCTACTATAACAATAAAAAAAATGTATATTTAGCAAACTGGCTTTTATCATAGTGTTAGGATAAAAATTTCTGGGGTGATTTTGGTGTTTTAAATGTAAGAAGCTATTGTCTATGAATTATTAGTTCCAGAGACTACCGTGTATTGTATCTCTGGGCAGAGCCATTAAAAAAAAATTTTTTTTTTCTCCAAGACAGTCTCATTTTGTTGCCCCAGGCTTGAGTGCAATGGCTTCAGTCTAGCTCACAGCAACCTCAAACTCCTGGGCTTAAGTGATCCTCTGGCCTCAGCCTCCCAAGTAGCTGGGCCTACAGGCATGGACCACCTTGCTTGGCTTATTGTTTTTCTATTTTTAGTAGAGTTGGGGTCTCACTCTTGCTCAGGCTGGTCTCCAACTCCTGAGCTCAAGTGATCCTCCTGTCTTGGCCTCCCAGAGTGCTAGGATTACAGGCATGAGATACCATGCCTGGCCTTAAAAAAATTTTTTTTCTTACACTTTTTTTCTGAAAATCACTTTTTCAAAGACAAATTTTTAGAGAAATTCTAAGTTAACAGCAAAATCAAGAAGGTACAAAGTTTCCCATACATTCCCCCACCCTGCTACCACATGTACAGCCTTCTCCATTATTACAGTCTTTTTATGATGACTCAAGAACTCAGTGGTAGAGTCTGCTCTCTCCGTGCTGAGGTAATAGTAACTACTATAGTGAAAGTCTGAATTGGGAGGTCTGCACGTGAGGTGAGCTCTGTGTGTGCCTCTGGGGAAGCAGAGGAGCTGTGACATACAAACAGGTATGTTTGCTGAGGTGGGAAGCATGAGTCCTCAGAGCTGTTTCACCAGTTCCTCCCCTCTGCTGAGCCTAAGAAGCACAGTGATGCCCCCAAGCCATATAAAACGAGTTTATTTTATATACATATTGGCATCAAAGCAAGACACGGAAGCACAAGAATCTACTACATTATCTGTGTGGCACCTGAGATAATAATCATCTAAAGCACTCGAGGCTTTCACTCTCTGCCTTTGCTCATATTTGCATAAGTAAATATTGAGATATGGGCATCAAACTGTTTGTAGGAGTAAACGGGGCTCTGTGTATGTGTGTGTGTGTGTGCTCACATAGGCATATACGAATGACATAATCGTTACCTGTGAAAATACATAGTGAGAACTTACTTTGTGTCTTATATGTTCCAGCTCTGGAAATATATTAATATAAAAGAAAGGCATAGTCTTTGTTCTTGTAAATGAATAATGTAATATACAGTAGAGATAAAGGCTATACAAAATAAAGCTGGGAGTGATAGAGGGGTGGCCAGTTTAAGTAGAATGGGCACCTGCTTGCAGATGTCTTCTGCCAAGCCATGCAAATATCTGCAAAATGTGCCTCTCTGGCATGGGGGTCAGAGTCCCTGGGCTGGTGATGAGTTCAAAAACAGCAGGAATGCTAGTGTGACTGGACAGAAGTCAGAGAGGAGTCAAAGTCCAGAACACAGGTGCGCCTTGTGGACTAAAGTAGGAATTTGAACCCATTGGAGGGTGAGTGCAGGAGGAACGTGGTGTAATGCATTGCTCTGGCTGCTGTGTGAAGAGCTGCCTATGGGTGGCAACTGCGGAATCGGGACTGCCAGGAGGCTATTATAATGGTGGCTTGAATGAAGGTGTTGGTGGCAAGATATCCATTGTATAGGCACCTGCTTTTCCTCTTATCTTTGACAGTTCCTTTCTGCTACTGGTATTTCTTCTTCTACCCCAGTGCACATTCTCCGGACACATTATCTGTCATTGCACACCCTGTGCGGTTGAATATTGATAGGAGAAAGAGTGAGCCATTAAGGTTAGCTGCTAGGTTTTTAGACAGAATAATTGGACGCAAAGTCATGCCATTTGTTGTAGGGAAAATCAAGGCAGGAGTAGGTTGGGATCTGGGGAGAACAGTTTTGGACTTAATCTTGAGAGACCTACAGGATCTTAAATAGGAAGTCTCTGGTAAGGCACTGGCTAAATGAGGCTACAGGTGCAAATTTTGAAGTCAGTAGTCCTGAGTTATCATTCAAAACTACATGAGTAGAAGAAACTACTTATGGAGAGGGTGTGCAATGACAGATAATGTGTCCTGAGAATGTGCACTGGGGTAGGAGAGATATCAGTAATGGAAAGGAACTGTCAAAGATAAGAGGGAAAGCATGGTATCTTGGAAGCCAAGTCAAATTATGTTGCATAAAGAAGAGAGTGAGCAGTCGAGAATTAACCGCAGGGTTTGGCAATGTGGAGGTGGGTGGTGGCACTGCCAAGCACAGCTTCGGTGGACTGACAGGGAGGAAAGCCTGAGTGGGGACGGCTGAGGAGGAACTAAGGTGTAGGAAACCAGAGGAAAGAGGAAAGGTGCTGCTGTTAAAGACTTTTGCAATAATAAGATTATAGCTGGAGGATGCAGCAGTGAAGGAAGGTTTGCTTTGCGATTTTTTAAGTTTAGAAATACCAGGAAGTCCTTGAGAAGGCAACAGGAAGTGAGGAATAGACCTCAGATTGGAGCAGACAGAATATATTAGTAGCACTGAAAATAACTAAATAAATTTGGTAGTAGTGAGGCGAAGAGTTTATTTTCTGATTGCTTCTATTCTCATTGAACTAAGAAGCAAAGTCATCAATTGAGAGTGAGATGGGGAGTTTGGAGAAGGGGACACATGAAGAGAGAGAGGTGTGAGATAGTTATCTTGGAGGGTGGAAGAGTGCATTGACCATGACAATTTAGTGTAGTTGACTAGTGGCCAGTATGACTGCATGATTTTCTCTACGCTCATGGGCAGGGGAGAGATGTAAGAGAGTCCAGTATCTGGCAAGTATAGTAGAAAGAGAGACAGGAGGGCTGCAGGTGTGTATGTGAGTGCACTAGAGTGATTACCGTGATAAGCCATGGAATATAAGCTTAGTGAGGAGGTAAGGACCTGGGGGATGATGGACAGGGAGAAGGTGGCATGTCCAAGTGAAGGAGGTGGCAGCATCAGCAAAACAGAGGATTACTGAGCATAAAGAGGCAAAGGAAACAGGTAATACCATCTTTAACGTGCCTGGGGTTTGAAGAGTCTGGGAGTGGCAATGAAGAGGAAGGAGAAGTTCCCTGCCTTCAATAATATGAAGTGTGAGGGAGGAGAGTGTCCTGGGGTAGAAGGAAGGGTGGCTGGAAAGAAGCCACCACATTTAGAAGACAACCAAGTTTAGAAGAAAAGAAGTAGAAGGACACATTCAGAGGAGAGTTAAAGATTACCAGTATTTTGCTGATGGGAGATCATGAGTTACAGGGATCATGGGGGAAGTTCAGAAGGCCAGGTCGAGTAGTAAACTAAGTTTTATCTGGGAATGTAAAGGAAGAGACAAAGAATGCCACGAGGTGAGGATAACCCAGAAGACCTGGGTTTCACACGGGGAGGCTCCAACACAAAGAAGGGTTATGTAAAGCTGATTTGTAAATGAGATATTGCAGAATTTGCAATCACTTTCTTGTGGGGAGGAAAAAAATATTATGTTTGACAGTGAAGTTACAAAGTTAGTTCCCAAATGCACCTGAAGATTAATAATGTTCATAGGAATGCAGAACCTGCCCACCACGCACAGGAATGATTCTTTATGAAGTCTGGTTTGGAATTTCCATTAGGAAGGAGATGCCCGCCTCCTCCTGGCAGTGGGGCAGACAGTGCCTTCAGGTGCCAAACGGTGGTGGCAGAAATTAGCAATGTTCACTTCCGGGTGTAATATTAGTGACCTTGGCTTGGAGAAAAGACTAAGTAGGAACTGGTGTAACATGCATGTGAGATTAGCAAAGGGTTTCCAGAGGTAAGGTCAACCATCAAAAGAGGGGCAAGGACGGAGGCCTGGGAAGATAGAAGGAAGGTGTTCTGAAGGTGGCAATGGAGACGCAGAGGGGATAACGACCTCAGAGGGGATGAGAGTGGTAAGTGAGGAAGGTGAGAGAACGTGGGGCCATTCCCTCCTTCTTTGGTGGCTGCTAGGGAGCCATCGTGACAGTGGTGGCGTACGCTATGGAATTCTGGATCACCCTTCACGTGCTCTATTTCTTCTTATCTTTTTCATCCCCCCTGCTCTTCCTTCACTTCTCTTTTTGTGCTGATGCTCTGTCACCAAGCACCACTGTTGACGAGCACTTGGCTGGTGTGATAAATGGGAAAAAGGGGTGGCATATTCAGCTAATACAGGTGTGGGGGAAAGATGTGAGAAGAAAAGGAAGTCCCCCTAAGCAGTAGCTTTGGGAGCCAATCATCAGTGAGTGACAAATGTAAACTGGGTCTCAGCAAGCTGTTGATAGAATACGCACGTATCTATGTATCTATTAGAATGTCACAATGCAGTCCTATCACTAAGGACAAGAAGGGAGTTGGTAGAAGTTAACACTTCTATCTGAGCAGAAAAATGTATCTCCTACTTACATTTTTAGTAACCAACATATAGTCTGAATTCAAATTTTTCTCTTATAATCATTAATAAATATAACTATTTATGTTTGATGAGTACATATCCGTGTCTTATAAGCACATATTAAAATTTATAATTTTTTATTTCATTCAAGGACATAGAGCTCAGGCACCATTTTCATAAGGACTAAAGTTTAACTCAACAAGTGTTCATCTTTAGAACTGACATACATTTGAATGAAATACATTTGAACTCATGTATTTTAAATTCTTGTTGCTGCCAGCAATGACATTAAAGCATATTACATATTGTCATAGGATGGCTAATCTTTATAACTTTTGGTATTAATTATATAAGATATTAAAACATGAGAATCCCATATTTTTGAGATAGGTAAGTCCCTTCATCGTTTTCTAAATGGGGAATTCCTTGTGAGAACCACTTTCCACTGATCCAATACTGACTTAATTTCATGAGATCAATGGCTAAAACATAATTGTTGTCTCCTATCTAACTAAGCACACTTATTTTTGTGAAAGGTAGTGTAGTATAGTGGTTAAAAACTAAGGCTCTGGAAGTTAGACAAACCTTGATTGGAATCAACTCAGCTTCTTGCAATGTGTGTGTCCTGGCAAGTTCTTTAACCTCTTCAGGATTAGTCTCCCCATAGTAAAACTAGCTTTATCATGGAACAGGGCTCACAGGATGGTTGTGAGGATTAAGGGAAATGATTTAAGTGAGTGCTGAGGAAAGTTCCTGGCAAATAATGAGTACTTGATCCATGCTACAATACTAAAAAGGTCAAGTTTGGTTGACTAGATGGATGGAAGATGGAGCTACATGGAAAATGTTTAGGGAAACATGGTAGATATCTACCTGGGATCCAGCCTAGATCCCTCTGTCCACTGGTGCACCTGTTTCCCAGCCACTCTGAGTGCTGGCTGCCTGTAGTCTTCTCAGCTGCACAGGCCACCTCAGTGCCTGGCCTCACTCTCCACCTGGGGAAGGGTATTAGCTAAGGCCAGACAGACCTGAGGTCCAAAGGGCTGGCCCACTTGCTTCAAAGTGTAACCAATTTGCCCTCTACTTAGTCAAGCCAGGGGTCCAACAGCCTTCACCCAGATCTACGCTGAGTGACTTCACATGCCAAACACATCAGGGACAGGATGGTAGAAACTTGTAAAATTCAAAAAAAGGGATCTTATGGAAAGAGAGAACTTCGGGGCCCATACTGAGACTAACAGTAAAATTAAAGTACAGTAATTAATGTTTTACTAAAATTTAGTCCTGAGCTTCCTAGTGACTAAAGCAAAGAGAAAAGGCCATTGAGCTACAGGATTTGTAATAATTTTCAAAAGCACACAAGGCCTTGGTACCTTGGTCAGTAAAGACTTGATAAATGGGTCAGCACAGGGCACCCGCTGAGTGGGAATAGTGGAAGTGTGCACTTTTTATAGTGACCTCATAGCCTATTTGTTGAGGGCTTTAAGCCCGATTGCTGTTCCTCTTAGGGACAGGAGAAGGGAAATCAGTGCAGTCCACCAGCTCAGATTTACGGGAATCTCAGTTCGAAGATAAAAATCTTGATTCTCTAGAAGAAGGAATGTATCTTTTAAACTCTCCCCTATCCCTCTCCCCCTATTCCTTTAGATTTGTCTTGGATTAGAAGTTGAACAGCAAGCAGTTATAGTTATACATATAGGCATACATATATATATGTGTGTGTGTATTTAAATATATATATTTATATATTATTATTTTTTTTTTTTTTGAGACTGGTCTTACTCTGTCACCCTGGGTAGAGTGTGGTGTCATTGCTCACAGCAACCTTAAACTCTTGGCTCAAGCAATCCTCTTGCCTCAGCCTCCCAAGTAGCTGGGACTACAGGTTCCCACCACCAGTTTTTCTATTTTTAGTAGAGAAGGGGTCTTGCTTTTGTTCAGGCTGGTCTTGAACTCCTAAGCTCAAGCAATTGCCTTGGCCTTCTATAGTGCTAGGTGTGAGCCACAGTGCTCAGCCTAGGTCATATTTTTTCTGGCATAAAACTAGAAGGCAGGTTTTCTGTGTTGCTGGTGAAGGAAGGGGGAGGTTTACAGTGTTTTGTGAAAATCAAGTTATGATACCAAGACTGATATTTTAACAGAGGCTTCCTCCACCTTTACTCTACCTGGGAAACTGGTAGCCTGAGAGTCCAAAACAGGACTTTCTGGCCTTCTTTTGTCCTGTTTTAATTTTAAATCTAGACTTCAAAAAGAATGTTCTGCAGATGCTTTGATTAGGTCAACTCAATGGCTAGGCGCCCCGTGGGTGCTGCTTACAACCACTCCATCCAGGTCACATCACTCCCGAGGAAGGACAAGTGAGACAGTAAGTGAGGAGCTTAGAGTGGCTTGTGTATCCGCCACGGCTTCCTAGTGACGTGTCGATCTCTCTTTACAGAGGGAAGTTAGAGGAGAGAGAGGACATAGCACTCCTGCTTCTGTTTTTCACAAAACCTAGGAACTGTCTTCTTTCCAACACCGGGATATGTGACACCACAAAGCTGTTGGTCTTGAGAAAGATTGTCCCCCTCTTAAAAGAAATGCTTTTGGAGTGTGGCCTGGATTGTTTTCCTTTAAGATTTTCAAGAGTGAACAGATGTAACAATTTTCTGTAATTTGCCTTGGTGCAGCAGCTGAAAGAGAGCATTCACAATAAAATATATGCAGTATATGTAATTTCAGCTGGATGTTCTGGGGTTTTAGAGTAAAAGTGTGTACCTGCAAGCTGTTTTATGGTTTCCCAGGCATAATTATCTCTGTTACACAGAAGGCTACAATGGCGACTCCTTCTTGGTGTGCACGCTTTCCAAAAATATCTCGATAATTCTGCATAGTCTGCAAGGCACAGTGTTGTCCTTGTGTTTTGGCTTGGAAAAGTGTTAAAATGTTTAATTTCTCTTTGTGACAAATCTAGGATGTCATGGAATAATCTATGGAGGAAGCCCTGGGAGAAGGTATGGAAACTAGAATGGGGGACAAGTGATACCTGCCATAAAGTAAATTCGGCTAAAGTAAATTAAAAGTAAATTACATGCAGTATGACTGGAGATGATACTTAGTGCAACTGCACTATTGTGTCGTAACATGGGAGAAGAGTGGTGGAGAAGGGGGCGAGGATTCTGAACAGCTGCAGCCTGCTCCCTTCCTCTGGGGAGTTCGTGCTCACGCTTGTGGCATTCCTCAGGGGATAGATAAGGAGAGGGTCTGGGCCATCGCTGGGAAGCCAAATCCCCAGACGGTCGATGAGTGAACGCTCTGCTACATATGTCCCCACTTAGCTCCACCATCGACCCTCTCTCCAATTGTCAGCCCGATTTCCTGACTACTTCATTTGTCCCTGCTGTACAGAAATGTATTTTCCACACTAATGACAGAATGGACGGCTCCCGACGCCCTTCATCCCACACACGCTTCTGGAGCAGGTCCAGTTGAGCTGTTGAATAGTTACCATTCGGATTCCATTGGTCCTCTCCGCCCAGCACGAACAAGAAGTTTTCCACCTCCACGACGCAGTGGTGGGCACTGTTGTATGGCATAACTGAAATTAAGGGGGAAAAGAAAAAAGGCGTCTGAAATGTTCCATCTCAGGACTTGCTACTTTGGCTCACTAGTTATTTGCTTCACCAAAGTGTATCAAATGTGAGACTGAGTCAGAGGGAGAAGAGCGCACAGGGAGCGGAGAAGCCACGCACCAGCCCAGGGATCTCTACGCGGGGGCTCAGTGGAGTGTTCCCAGCGGTTTCAAACCCAACCCCTTTTGATTAATTTTGCATAATGTTATTCCACAAATTAGTCAAGGACAACCTGCCCTGCTGCCTTTGATGCTTAAGTTCTCCTCACTTGCCTGATGATGGGGATGGCGTTCCGAATGACGGACGCTCCCAAACGGTCAGGGCTGGGGTTCACTTCTTGGAAGAAGTAACCCGGGCCACGCTGGGAGCCGATAGGATGTTCTGGCCAGACTGGGTTTGCTGGCAATCTCTCCACAGACAGACTCAGGGTGCTCGCTGGCTTCCTATTCCACAGCAATGAGCAAGCTGAATTTCCATACAGTTTTAAGTTTTTAAATTAAGGTCCTGCTGATTTAATGCCTCCTCCAAATGTATACGCTTAATTTCCTGTACAATGTCATTAGCAGCACAATCACACACTTTCTATCTATCTGCTTAGCAGCTCTGCTGTAACAAAGACGACAACTGTCAGCAGCATCGCAGACACCCATCCTCCTCGCCGCTGCCTCTCCCCACCCATACGCGGTGGCCGCGAGGAGAGGGCATTATTTGGAAACCCACTCAAGCCAGATTTCTCTATATTTTGTTCTCAATGTTCATTTCCTCCGCACCAGAATAGGACATCCTTGACAGCTTCCGGGCTGGGCAGTGTTAGTCTCTGCCGTTATAATGTCACATGGAAAACGTATACAGCGTTAGATATCACGGCCCAGGCAGGGCTCTGGGCCCGGTGACGCCGGTAGGAAAAATGATGTCCTTGTCCAGCTCATCATATGGGCCCCTTAAATCTAGGTGAGGACAAATGAGGAGGTGACGTGCATGTTCAGGCAGGGAACTTATTGCTTGACACGGATCAACAGAGCACTTAAGAAACCAGTGCAGTGGGAAATCAATATGAGTCAGGGCCAACTCTGACTCTGTGCTCTTCTGCCAAGGCAGGGAGAGAGACAGACAGAAAGAGAGAGGGCGGAAAAGAGAGATGGAGAGATAGAGAAAGAGAGAGGGAGAGAAGCTACCTCCTACTTGATTTATTTGGGGTGGTATCTCTCTCTCACTTCATTTTGTTTTAAATATCCTTCATTCTTCTCAGAAAGCCCTTATGCTGGCTGATGAAAATAAAAAGAATAAATAGGCACCGCTTTGAAACCTGGAACACAGTTTCTGAAAGAGCAAATCAGATCATTTCTGTTTCTTACCACAGGATTTTAGGACTTCTGATTCTTTAATTAACTTATTAATTTATTTTTTACTGTAAAGAGTCATTGTTTTTGTACTTATATCCACACGGGAGAAGGTGTCAGAAGGTAAACCGCTGATTCGGGGGATAATGCAGAAGTCCGGGTGGGCAGGTGTTTGGGTGGCCCATGAGTCCAGGTCAGTTGGCTTAGTCATCTCAGGAATGTCCAGAAGTTCCTCTGCCCTCAGTTTACCTCTTTGAAAACCTCTTTTAACCCTACAGATCCTGTGGGCTTCACTGCTCAGAATTCATTGGGACAGAGTGTCTGTTAGGTTCATGGAGCGACTAAGGTTGGACATGAGATTGGACAATTAAGTTCACGAACTTGTCCTAGAAAAAGTGCTGCCTACCTCGTTGCTGAATATCACTATGGTCACCTTTGACGTACACCCCTTGGGAAGCTATGCGCTAAGGCCAGTGCCTAGTCCACACTGTTCAAAGCACTTTCTCGAGGATGAGCTCTCAAACTTAATTGTCCAACCTCTTATATTTCAGAAGTCTTTTTTTGGCTGGGTGCAGTGGTTCACGCCTGTAATCCTAGCACTCTGGGAGACTGAGGTGAGTGGATCGCTTGGAGTTTCAACACTGGCTTGAGCCAGGTGAGAGTCTCTAAAAATAGCCCAGTGTTGTAGTGGATGCTTATAGTCCCAGCTACTCGGGAGGCTGAGGCAAAAGAATTGCTTGAGTTGGGTAGCACCTGTGGCTCAAAGGAGTAGGGCGCCGGCCCCATATGCCAGAGGTGGTGGGTTTGAACCCAGCCCTGGCCAAAAACTGTGAAAAAAAAAAAAAGAATTGCTAGAGTCCAAGAGTTTGAGGTTGCTGTGAGCTATGATACCATAGCACTCAACCGAGGGTGACAACGTGAGGCTCTGTCTCACTTGAGAAAAAGACTTTTTTTTTTTTAATCAACTCATCAATGTTTGGATTATGATGCTGGTTCCAAAATACCAAAAACCAAACTAGGCTGCCCCTTATTGCATTGCTAGCAAGCTGGTGCTACTCTAGTTGATGGTAATGTCCTCTGGTCAGTGTAGATGTACTCAGCATTCACTGTCCTCTGTATGTATCAGTTTACCAGCATATTCTATGACCACCACCCTTGAAATATTTACTTTAAACTTTTGGTCAGGTCAATGCCCAAATCTATAAATAATAGAAAAATTACAAATAATGAAAAATTGTATTATCTTAACTTCTGAAAACAAAATGACACTTGTTTTTCATTCTTGCCGTTCATTTGCCCCCATTCATGCAAGCAGAAATTAAGTGAAGGAAATAATACGTGATTTATTTTTAAGCTTCTTTTTCATTTGATTACCCCTATTGTTACGCTGGGTGCAAACAAATGAAACTATTGTGCTAAGCTAACACATGAACTGTTCAAAATAAGAGAATAAAAGGCCATGGACGTTCTTATTTAAAGGGTAGGTAAAGGGTAAAGGTATTTTCATGCATTTCCACATTTTCACTCCTGTTTTAAAACCTAGGTTTTGCGATATTTCTTTGTTGAGCATTTTGGTATTCTCATTCCTGAATTATTCTCTCTTTTTTGAATTATGATGGTGAATTGAGAGGCTCTAAATATACACAAATAACTTCTAAAAATTATTCTGAATATAAAATGCTCCCAATTTTATTTTAAAAAATCTGGATTCAGTGAATGTTTGAATTTTGCAAAAGACCTAATTTCTTTGACTTCTGATTAAACCTGAAGGAAAGCAAACTAAGCAGGGCGATGAACGAGAGCAAACAATCATTTAAAATGTCACTGGGTACGGCGCTTATTGATTCCCTGTTAAACAACAGCGGATACATGCCTGTTCCTTTCCAGACCTTCCAGAGGTGGGCAGCTGCCTTGCCCCCGCAAGCAGGTAGTGGAGGAGGTTTGTACTCCATGTCCACAGACAGCCCAGTGTGAGTTTTTAGCGTGTCAGTCAGTGAGTTAGAGGGAAAGGGGAGAGAGAAGCTAATCAGGATGAAATGAGATTAAAGGCTGTCTAATTTTACAGCAACTGTGATCCATCAGCCACTGTGAAAGTGACAGTGGAAATGAATGATGGAGACAGACAGGTGGGGCTGTACATTTCACTGATTTATCCTCAAATGCACTGGGCCTTATTTTATTGAGTGAACATGACCGCATTTATCATGACTGTCATCCAAACCCACTTCCCTCCATTTAAAAAGGTCACTTTACTCAGAAGGAGTAGGAGAGAGGCACTTTCAAATCAGATCTGAAATCTAATAACACATGTTTAGAAAGCCCTTTGCAAGAATTCTCAACTTTATTAAACAAACAGGTAGTGCTAGTGGGAAAGGCAAAAAAAAAAAAAAAAAAAGGCAGAACATTGAAAAAGGAGAAACTTCGAGTCATCTGAGGGAGCACCTTCATTGCGTCTCTAACTGTGAAGCAATTTGTACCATTTTTGCCTTGCCCACTCCCAAAGCCCAAAATTCGATTCTGGTCTGGGAAATTAAATTAAACATTGCATTTAATGTTATTAATTAAGACAGGAGGAATCAGGTGATACTATAAAATAAACTTGGAGAGGATATTAAGTCACTGTATTGACTCTGCAGAGTGACTGATCATCACTGAAATACATGTGAGCAATTTTTGGCGGAATCTAGGCCACCATTAACTTAGGTACCTGTTAATTGTTTTCCCATCATTTTAAGGCATAAAAATTTCAGTTGCACAAAGTCTTTTACTGTCCATGGACAGTGCCATAAAACGTTCTGGAATGTTACGCATAAAATTTGTCTTTGTGTATGTGAAAACGGACAGCCAACCCCCCAGGGGACTTTGTGTTTACTTTTCACAATAATAACCACCATCTACCAACTATTTACTGTGTGCCACATGTACCTATAAATTAAATGTATAATTATATTGGTGTATTTTCCTGTATTGTATCTCTGAAATATCATAACATTTGTGTTGTGTTTTTTCCATTCATTTGCTCCCATTCAAGCAGGCAGAAATTAAGTGAAGCAAATAAGACGTAATATTACGAGGCATGTTAAAATATAGGGTATGATTCACATACGATGCTATAATACCCGCCAAAATACACTAATTTTGTATTTACCTATATTTACTTACATATTTCTTTGAATGTAACTAATTATACAGGGGGCATGATTCCTCCATTTCATTTCTGTAAGAAATACTGAGGCCTTGAGAAGTGAAGTCACTTGTTGAAGGTCAAACCCGGCTCCTGAATGGCAGCGGTAGAAGCCAAAGACGAGGCTATCAGGACCCCAATCCACACGCTCATCCATTTCACTCTGCTGATTTTCAATAGGTATGTGCATCCAACCAGCAAGTAATTACTGACTTCCTGAGTCTTCAGTGACGGTATACTTGAAATTTGTGTATAATTTTTTATATTGAATCATATTTTAAATGTATTAGTTTGATATTTAAAGAAATCCTAAAATCAAGCAAATAAACATACCTTGGTGTATAATTTTTTATACTGAATCATCTTTTAAATGTATTTACTAGTTTGAGATTTAAAGAAATCCTAAAATCAAGCAAATAAACGTGCCTTTGATTGTTTTTCT